ATTTGTTACTGAGCACTGCTAATTGTCATAGGTAACCTGCGTAACAATGGCGTTTACCGTCAAGCAAATGTCTCTGGTAGTGGCAACCCTTGGAATTTTGTCCTTTGTTTTTGGAGTAATTGCTGAAAACAAGAAGGTATTATATTGTACCTTTATAATCCGAGTAAAATTGGGAGCTTGGGTGCTTATATCATGTGGCCTTTGCAACTATCATTCTCAAACTTTGTTGGGGTTGAATGGCTTTATTGATGATTGTATGTTTCGTCTGTTTTTAAATTCGACCAGTCTATCTTTTTTCGGTTGAATTGATTGGACTTCGTGGTATTAGGGTGAGAAGAAAATCGAGTTTGCAAATTTTTCATAGACGACACTATTTCTCTTTTCAATGAAAATTTATTTTTCCTTCTTTACTTGATTATATGCTACATTAGTACTGTTTGAATTAGGAAGTCCAGTACACGAAAGTGAAATTTGATGACTTATGCAATAATCCCGTAAAAATCGATTTAAGCTTTAGTAATATTGGGCTAGTGATGATACTTGAGCAAGTCTGTAATAGTTATATACCAGTTCTCAGTCTTTTGGTTTGTGGTATTTACTATTTACCTTTCTGAGTGGACTAGATTGCATCTGATCTGATGTCTTTTATCTTTAATGCTTTTTAGTGGGAACTAATGAATGGATTGTGTATGTTCACATCATTGAAAACAAAATCACAATTCAACTGTAATCTTATTCTTCTCCTAGCCTGTTTGAAGTTAATCATATATTTCTTCTAGCCTTTTTTACATGAGTTTTCTAGTTCAAAGAGATGACTAAAAGGCTTATATAAATCCCAATTACCTGTACAAATCAGTGAAGCAAGTGTTTCCCTCAGGATTGGTTATTGCAAATTGAACTATGTTATATATATAGATTTGAAATCTATATAAGCATCATGCAGTTTCATTCTCTATTTAATTTTTCGAAAAGAATAATTAGTTTTATACGGTCGGACAATTTTTTCAGCCTGCAGCCGGCATTCCCATAACAGGGAAAGGTGTAGTCATCTGCAAGTACCCAGCTGATCCATCTCTGGCTTTAGGATACTTGTCCATTGCATTTCTTATTATCTCTGGAGTTGCCGGTTATATTTCCCTTTTTCACCCTTACCAAGGAAAGTCTGTTCCCCGGGCAGCTTTTTTCCAGAACAAGGGATTCCTCGTGTTCCTCAGTATTGCCACGTAAGTTCCAAAGNTTCTTATTTTCTTGTGTTTCCGGTTTGATTATTATTATTATTGTTATCATTTTGGTTCTTCCAATTGTAGGGCTACATTCGTGCTAGCGTTTGCATTCTTGCTGTGGCCCACGATCCAAGAGCATAGCCACCGTGTGAACAACGTGCACCACAATTTGGAAACAAAATGCCCGACGGCCAAAACGGGTATTTTAGGCGGTGGGGCCTTTCTGTCGCTTGATTCTTGCCTCTTCTGTTTGGTTGCTCTAATGTTGGCTGATAATGTGCGTGCCGACTATTTTGAAGAGTCGGATGAGAAGGTCCCGACCAGCTATGATACAGCCGAGCCACTTAAAGGGATTGCTTGAGCTTTGAGTGTACATATTTGAACTCAAGTCTTACTAAATTATCTTGTCCTGTTTTCTCTAATTTCCAGAAGTTTGGTTGGTGGTGTTACATAGATGTTTAAGTATTTTTTTTAAAGGATGTTTTATTATTTCTCTATAAGATGGAACTGAAATTATGTGTTAAAGCTCCTACATTTCATCCAGTTAGTGGAAGAGTTTGGTTAGGGAAAAATAAATAAAAAGTTTAAATCATATGCTTCAGCCTATTGTGATTTCAAATGAATACTTATCTTTCAAAAGAAAAAAAAGTATACACCCTTTAAAACATGAATGGATTAAAATACCTTTTGAATTTATAATTTCACACATTATTATGTAACTTATTAGCCAACTCGTGTGAGAAATATTGCAACTTTCATATAGTTAAATATCTTGCGATTTTTCATGTGCAATAATATATTCAAAAATTACTACGAAAGTTTACTCAAATTTACGGAATATTACATTAAGAAATTACTAATAAAATTACTTGTATCCTATATAATTTAAATGGAGAAATTGCCTTATAATTTAGACAATGCTAGAGCCAACTTTAAGATAAATTGCTCTGCCAAGGTGGTCCAGCAGATTATTAGCAAACGTCTTCCAAGATATAATAGTTCTTTCTTGTTGTAATACTAATACCATTTCAAATAATGAAAAATAAAAAAAAATAACGGGCATCAAATGTTTTGCACTCACTACATTCAATTATGAATGTACTGTACTCAACTAAAATGAATGTGAAACTCATGTATATGTTTCCCTACAAGATCAAATAATTGGGTGTATATAACTGCAGAAACAACACAACTCACTGAAAAACCTATTCATCCAAAATAAATGAAATGAATACACTCATGTTTTCACAACTAATCATAAAAATCCTTTCACTTAAAGAGCTATTAATGAATAGTCACACATTACAAAGAATTTTTCATTCACCTTAAAATCCCTTTATTTATGTAGACAATATTTCCAACAAAGACAATGGATCATGATACTGTCTGCAAGCTTGAGCAAGATTACAAGCACAAAACACACGGTCAGAACAAGGAGTGGGAAATCATAATTAGAAAAGAAAGAGTAATAAATTCTCTTTTTCTGGAGAAATTTGGCCATGTTTATAGCCATCATATAAATAAAAACAAAAAAAGTCAGTAATTTGTCAAAAGTTATGAATAAAAATAGAAAATTTACCTTGAAGACATTTATATCTAGCACTATGGTCTATATAATTACATTTTACATGCTCGAAAGATAAGAATCATTTTTCTGTACATGGACGTAACACAAGAATCAAAATGTTCTCCAGGGCCTGTTCGTGCACTTACATATATTTTTCTTTTCGCCACAGATAGAAAAAATGTGCCCTCACCTGCAAGTAAAGAAAAACTATTTTGTCAAGAATAATCCTCACGTGGGAAAAAAGATACATGAAAACAGAGCGAGAAAAAGAAAGATGTATCACATTGTTGTACGAGTCGTGTACTTACGTTTCAAAAAGTAGTATAAAGATAAACAACTCACGTTTCAAAAAGCATGTTGCTTTATTGGAGGCATTTACATTGTTGATCAATCCATTCCTCATAATCTTGCAGCAGCTGTTTTATGAGCAAAGGTACAAGTTGATCTACTAAGGTCTGCATCATTCTGGAAAAGCAAATGATAAGATAGTGTTGGGATTCTTTCTATTTCTTCAAGTGTGTAATTAAAGATTTCTTCACCTACTAGAACGAAAAACGGAAAACAATTAAACAAAATATTTACTAGTTGATTTGGACAATGGGGATATCAGTCCTACTTCAGATAGTGTACCAATTTAGTTTCACAGACACCACCCGACAAAATAAATAAGTAGTAAATACTCCAGTTTAGATTGAAATCACAAATTCTTGTTTATGTTGTTTTTTAAAGTATGACATTTCCGTTTCGAAAGTATGCATATCTGTTGAAAAAGTACGATTGTTGTCTAACAGTAAGGATGCTGGATTCAAATACATACTTATTCCAGTTTAAAGCAATAAATATTGAGTTAATTTTGTTTATGGGTCCAGTACGTACTTATTTCCCGGACCTTCAACAGCTGATATGGGCATCAAAGTAAATGGCCGGGTGTAAATCTGCAGAAGATCAGGATTAGAGCTAATGAGATGCATATAGTAAAATAGACCAATCTAGCATTTTTCAAATAAATATATCAAGAAAAGCTTCTTTATGGGTGTTGTGTTATGTCTAACACACAACAGTTGCTCCAATTTGTGCACTATAAAAAGCTAATTAGTAGCTCGGACTCATTGATCAATTGGTCAATAAGACAAATTTGCAAAAATATCATACATTAACTCTTAACCCGCCCATGAAAGAGGAAAGCTTCTCATCCAACAATTTTATGCAATAAGGATAACTAAATATATACAAACTGAGGAACTTAAGAGGGATAACAACCTCAAGGATGAGATTTAACTTCACATCTACATCCAAATATTGTTCAGCACCAACAGACTCCCATTTTATGTGGTTCCTCATAAAAGCTACAAATGTTTGAAAACATAAGTACAGAGTCAATCTTAATGAAAGGCACAAAACAGCTCTCACAGGGAAAACGTGTTGAAAAAAAAAATGTACCTGAAAACTTCTCGTTTTGGCGTTCCATGAACTCAGAACCTTCAAACTGAACAAAAGAAAGAAAGAAATATGTAACTTTCGAATCATATCATAGATAAGTTGTTAGTGAAGCACTGTCATTTAAATAAATCATCAATCTTTGATTTTGCAAGTGGGTAATGACAAGAGATGCAAAGTCCGCAACATAAATTCGAGAAACATGCAAATTCAACACAAATGATATAACAAGAGTGGGGTAAAAAGTTACGAAGCTTACCTTGCAAGACAACATCTCAACTACACAATCTTCACTAGTTGGAATCACTTGTAAGTCCAACACTGGTGAAACTCTAAAGCTGAGAAATTTTATTTGTGGAAGAACACACCTGCATTTAGCTTAAACAATTCATAAAATCGATACTGGAACGAACAAAAGTAACAATTTTGGAGCGTTCATGTGTTCCAAGGATATCCCAATTTGCAAATTCCAAAAACATGTTTCTATTTTGTGTTCTGCTAGGCGGCATGTGTAACATATCTTCCAACCGTCAATAAGACAAAAACATTATGTTTATCAGAGCACATCTTACGAATGATTCAAGTGAAAATGATGTATCAAAATTTTATTGCAGTGATTACATATTATAAACCAAATTTAGGACCTCACTGAGAGACCGAGTAGAAACCAATATTGATTTCTTCTTCCCTTATTGGATACACAAATTGAACTATTTTCTAAACTTCTCAAAGATTAATTTCACCAAAATAACAAATAAAAAATGTCAAGTATATATGCATAATATGTGTGAGAGAGAGAAGAATATATTATGTACCTATACAAATTGGAATCGAGGAATTGATAACTCTGCAAGGCACTTGTGTTCAAAATTGATTCAATTCCAGATGGATGACTGAAGAACTTACTAATATGGTAAATTCCATTTTCTCCAACCCCATCACCATAATTAGGAAGCTTAATTCTCTCCTTCTTTCTGGCACCCAGATTAGCTTTCTTTCCACCTCGCTCGGACAACTTTTCTGTCTTTACATACACTTTAATACATCCATTTATCTTCCTTAATCGACAGAAAAACGAAATAAAAAAATATAAGTTTCTCAGCAAAGATACAGAACAAAAAGGGTTTTATGCCTCCAATGTATTCATACAGGAGAAGAAAGTACCTGGGTCTGGAACTAAATGTATCTTGGCGAAAATGAGCATGAAATGGGGAGCAAGCAGAATGGTAGCTAGCTGCCTCCATTAATGGCGGCCTCTGCTGTGTGTCGAATTGTTGATGAATATTTTAGTTTTGGACAGATTAATTTGAGACAATACTTAATTCGGCAGCAGAGAAATGGAGACAGGTGTCAGAAAATGGGCAAAACTATTTTGGCCCTTGGTACATCATCGCCTATTTTTACCATTTGGCCCCGTTTTTGACTAGTAAAGACTGCATACATGATATATTGGTATATATGTTTTGTGATTTTAAATGATTTTTTATATTTATATAGTGTATTTTTATTTTCATTATTATTTCTTATTAATCAAATAATGATAATTATTAGAGTCATAAGAAAAAAAGTATATACAAAATTTCATATACAAATCTTCATTGTTTAGGATAATCATATTTGCTAGAAATCTTTATACAATGCTATAATTCAATAATCTTTGTACTCTCAACATGTTTTACTATTCGAGAATATAATAAAAAGTCTTCTTTTCACCAGGTCGTTGTTTGTGACATTCTTTGGTTGCAAAGATTTCTTCGATACTCTAGATTTTCAAAATCTTTTCAAGGAATGTGTTTCCTTCAACATGACTCTTCATTGGTACGAAAATCTCCAGATACATAAACTTTTCAAAATTGATGTAAAAAAATATTTTTTTTCCTTATAGGCGAGATTCTCCAAATCTGACTGAATCTTCAACATATCTGCAATAGATATCTTTCTAATCTTCACAAAACACGTCCAGATCTCATAATCTCGTGTACATCTCCTCCTCTAGTCAATATCCACCTTATAGAAAGGTTCCTATACATGTAAAAACCTTGCAAGCATATAATCATCACAAGTAAAGATATCTATAGCTATATATAAAGTATAAGTCATGTAATCCTTCTCCCATAAGATTTTGGACTCCATAATATTTACCATTTTATAAATTAAGCATACATCGATAGAAGATATATACTAAAAACTAAATAATAAACAAGTAAATAAATAGAAAATTTTCCTTGAAATTGTTTTGCTTGCTTAATAAGAAAATCATCAAAATCACATAAAAAACTGGGATTAAATTCGAATGATGCCAATAAAATATTCTAACAATTATTGCCCGTTCACCGCACAACGCACGTGTTACGCATTAGTATAAAAAAAAAAGAAAAAAAGAAATAAAGTAGTAATTTGACAACCATTTCCCTTCGGATTTGCTGACATCGCACTGCAATATTGTAAACCACCACCCTTCGTCCTCGTGATTGTACATGCTCAAATATGAACTAAAATAAAATTATAAAACAACATGAAGAAAACATTGAAGGAGTGTATATCCTTAGAAATGTCATCTATTGAGTGTCATTTAATCAACACACGCAGGCAAAAACACAAACAAACCAGAAGAACACTACTATCAGCCATCAGGCCATTACACCATAAGGATTTTCTTCTCCTTTTTCTTTTTATGTTATGGAAAACCTATTACATTTCACCTCAAAGATGTTTTTCTTAAACCTACTTTAAATTAACTCGCTGAACAAACGATACTTGAGGAAAAAAGACACAAGTCCTGCTAATACTAACCAGACAGACTCCACATTCTCTCTTCACAGTTCACACCTTCTCAATCACCCTCAGTTTAGCACTGCGGCTCCTCGGGTTCAACCTCTCCTCCAACTCGCATGGCGTTATCGGCCTCTTTGTCAGGACACATGCATTTGGTCCACACACCATCTGTTTTATCCATGCCTCTTTATCCTCGTATGCATTGAGTTTTTCGGAACTATTACTCACCAAATGCCTCTCTTTGCTGTTCTTATCATTACCTCCCTCAGCACCTTGGTTAATTATGTCCAGAAACGACTGCTTCACGATTCTGTCCTCCAAGCTGTGGAATGTTATGACTGCCAGCCTTCCTCCTGAGGCAAGACAATCGAAACACATGTAGATGGAATCTTTCAGAATGTTTAGCTCATCGTTCACAGCTATCCTCAAGGCTTGAAACACACGTGTCGCGGTCTTTATCCAGCCTTGTCTCCCTCCTGTTTGAATTTTTTGGAACAATTTTGAGTCGAATGATTTTTTTTTATTTTTTTTTAAATCAATTTTGTTCAATGGATCATCCGACTTTAGGGTTAAGAAACGAGGGTTTGATTTGTACAAATTTAAGAATTTTATTATTTAAGAATTAGGATAAACCGTATCAGTCGTTTTTGTTCAAAGAATTAAACATTGTTTAATAAACTACAAAAATGAGCTTATATTCTTATCCGGTTCTGATTCAAATATTACACAAACGGACCTTAATCGAGCTCAACTGATCTATTACGTATTGCAGAATGAAATTGAAAAGAGGGAAAGGAAAAAGGACCTCTTGTCCAAGAAGTTGAGCTACGAATGAGGTCAACCAGTTCGCGTGTCGAATGCAGTCCGCCAGTTGATCGAGCCCTGACGATTTTCTTTTGGAGAGAGAACCAGTTGCTCTCTTCGCCGTAGTCCCGTAAAATCCGACCCACTTCATCATCTGGCCATAAATTTAAAATGTCTTCTGCTTTCAAACTAGACTGTCATTCCCTGTTCTTTATCAGTTAAGCTACAATGAAACTTCCACTCAAAGCAAAAGAAGAGCTGAAAATACAAGTTGAATTCATTATCTTTCACAAGAATGTCGTGATGAGAAAGAAACAAACAGAGTTTAAGCAAAGATTTAACCAAATAATAGTTTCTGGCGACAAAGTGTCTCATGAAACGTATGAATTTGCAAACACAGAAATGCAAGGATCTGAACAAAAAGTTGGTTACTGTTTGCAGATCTGTAGGTGCAGGTGCAATTCAACTATACTGCCTAGATAGACTCGCACAAACTTGCCTTAGAAGAAAATTATACCTCAACAACTTGAAAATTTTAATATGTAAAGAATCACTGGGATAGCATAAATTCACTAATATAGAATTCAGAATTAGGATTGCCAACCTAGGGCCATTGATGTACGTAACAAAACAGTGCCAGAAAAACAATATCAATCAAAGCTTTTTCATTCTCCTATTGCTGTTAGAATACAGAAATCCTAGTGTAGTGACTATCCGTTGAAATAGAAGATGCTCTTGTACAAAAGTCACTTCATACAATGATATATACATTGCAATGTCTTTGCTGCTTTAATTTGCCACACCAGAAACTCTGATGAAGAGAACAGAACAAATCTTGATTTATCAACAATGCTATAAAGATCTAAGAGACTTTATTCTTGACATGGTAATATCTTGGTGGTAGGAAGTAGAAATTACCTGAGGATTCATCCGCATATCTAGAGGTCCATCACAAAGTACACTAAACCCTCTTTCCGAATTGTTTACCTGCAAACCATTAGAGAACGAAATACTTTCAATATCTTTGTTATACTTCAGTTGTCCTCTACTTTCCATCAACATAGGTGCTAGATACCAAGCTGTAGGTACTAATGAATGGAAATTCATACTGTCATACTCGGGGTTTCACTGAATGAGGAAACTGAAAAAAGAACATACAAATGGAGAGGATATAGTTTTTCAAGTGAAATTCTAATACTGAATTTAGAAAACCAAAAGGCACAAATTTTATCAATAAGAACTCCTTATAGTCTAGATAAGATGGTCATATGAAATTCAGTGAGGAAATTTTTGACGGAAGGGAAATATTTCATCATTTTGAAATAAGCAGCACATCTAGGTAGGCAAAGGAGACATACATACATGCCTGTAAATGAGTACGAGCCACTATAGTGAGAGGAATGTAAAGCCAAACAATGTGTTTTTAAAAAAGTTAAAAAAAAAATGCACGACATTGTACCTGCATTGATGACATTCCCAAGTCCATCAAGATTCCTTGAATACCAGGAGTCAAAGGATTCCCATCAATATCTTGAAGCACAGATTTAACATTTTTAAAGTTCTTCAAGTGAGTATGTACTCGTAGGGTTGCTCTAGATCGGCCAGCATCTTTTTTCAATATGTCATTGATTCGAGTTTGAGCTATCTCATGGGCAATAGGATCAACGTCTAATCCAACGTAAAGTGCCATCTCAGGGTGTGCCTCAATTATCTGTAAGTAACAGCAAAGGAGGCTTAGGGCATATAGATAAACTGAGCAATTTTTCTCATGGCCCCCTATGCATAACGTAATGCAAACCCTAAATGCTTCATTTGAAATTCTCTACTTTGTCTATCCTTGTCTTAAATGCTCCTTAATTTGTTCGACAAATCGCCTATAAAAGAACCCCAACAGGAANAAGTAATTGTTGCTAGGCATTAGCAAGATAAGATTTTCCTCATGCATTTGTGCCCACTAGATAATTTTCATTCTTTAAGGCTAGGCATAGCCGAATATCAGGGAAAAATCTGCATTTCATACCCAATTTCATCACTATAACACATTACCACCAACAATCAACTGAAGATAATGAAATTTCAATCATTTCATCATTATCCCAAATTTTGGCTATCCATCATTTCAGAAGTATTCGATTAGAAACCAATGTCGCATCATTTTTAATATAGATATTTCTGAAATTGAATAGTAGCATTTTAATTCCAATCCCTAAATTCAGAGAAAAAATACTTGATAACAACTGAAACAATTCACCAACCGCAGCTGAGTGGCCGCCGGCGCCGAGAGTACAGTCGACGAAGGATTTGAGGGGTACCGAGGCAAAGGCGTCAAGCACTTCGCCGAGCATGACGGGGACATGGGCAGAGTTGTCATTTCGGTACTGCTTCTCGAATCCTTCCTCGTCAAGCTCCCTCGCAGACCGTGTCCGTCTCTTCAGCAGCAACTCCGCCTTTTGCTTCTGCTTCTGAGTCTCTCTCTTGCTTTTGCTCCGAAGAGTGGAGTCCGCTGGCCTAGTCGTAGCGTTGACGGAAAATTGACGAGGGGAGATTTTTGGAGCAGCTATGGAGGATGAATGGAAAAGCAGCTTCTTGATAAGTGATTTTACGGAACCTGTTGTTGCTGGCATGGCCATCGAGTGTGTGAAGACAAAGCAACAAAAGGAGGTTTTATGAGTTTTATGGTAATCTATCTATCTATCTATCTATCTATACTATTATAAAAAGACGAGTGATTTTGTAAAAATAATGATATGCCTAAAAAACCCTTACTTTGACATATTTTTAATGGCAAATTTTTTTGTTGCATAATTTTTTGTTTAAATAAATTTTATATATTAAAATCATTATATATGATTACAATTTTATCATCGAAATTATATTAAAAATAAGGACGTTATTCAAAACAAAAATTCAATATCATTTCAAAACTTTGTTGTTTGGGTTAATGTTGAGTTGATTTTTTAGAGATATGGAAGAACACGGTTTGAGAGATATGTGAAAGAAACCAAATTCTTGAAGAATAATAGTGTGAATATTGTGGTTGATTTTTAAGAGATGTGGAATGGTTTATTCATTTAATTGTATTAAATGAATAAAATATCAAATGAGTATTAGTGCATTACTAATTTGAGATTAAAAATATGTCAAATAAAAGGGTTTTTAGGTAAATATTAATTATTAATAAAAAAAATATAAGATATGTTATATATTATGTTATTACTAATTTGCCATTAAAAATATACCAAAGTAAGGGTATATTAGTTAGTTCTTTCTTTAACAAAAACACTCATCATTTTATAGTAGTATTCTGAGTTACCATTTTAGTTAGCACAACATTTAGACATAGAATATAATAAAACATTTGGAATAAATATTACATAAGATTATTTGTAGATTTTGTTTACAAGAACCAATCTGTTTTGGTGGATGGAAACTTTATTTTTTTTTCAACAGCTACTTAGCTAAGAGAATTATAACAATTTCTTCAAAGACCACCTCAATCTCCATCATTTTTAGTAAATTTAGAGGGGTAATACGAAAACACAACTCAAACAACCAAACAACAACACACGACCCCCACAGGGTAATATCCGAGTGTCGGACCCCCACAGGGTAATAAATTTGACACCCGGATGCACCGAGGCCAACAGGCCCAAACCTAAAACACAATCACAATGCACAATAACAAACAACCGCTAACAAGACAAAAACACACAAACACCTAATAACTAATAACTACACCCTCCCCCGAAGAAAGACGATCCCGAACAAGCAGCAACCGAATCACAGTTCGGCCCCTAGCCAAGGAACAGCTCCCGAAACTGCAATTAAGCCTATACAGAAACCGAACCCCCGCCCCCGAACCAAACCACGAGACGAATTGCCGCCAACCGAGGGTACAGGCTGTTGAGCCTCCCCTAACCGGCACACCCCAAGCGCACCTAACACCACTAGACTGCGCAGGGGCGTCGGACTCCGGCCAAGTCGCAACAGAACCGGAGAATAGGGGCTGCTCGCAGCCACATACTCTACTCCTGCAGCACCATCACAGGCCACCGGAGCCCCACCCCATCCCTTGACCACCGCCGTCCCAACGCCACCGTGCCGGAGGATTTCCCCAACACCCGAACTTCGGCAGAGACACTCCCTGCAAAAGACCGAGGGGAGGCTTCAAGGCCCCAACCACCGAGGACAAGCGACCACCTCCCCCAACCAGAGCCACCTAAAACAGCAAGCCGCCGGACTCCACACGAGGGAGAAGGAACGTGAATCTCACCCACCGACACATATGACTGCAGGAACAAAATAAAATGTAGAATAAATTAACTTTTCATGCATTTTATTTTAAATATAAAAATGTTGTCGTAATATAAAAAGATTTGAATATCATATTACAACTCCAACAAAAATATATGAAAAATGAGTTCCTAATGAAAAAACAATGAATGACTAAATAAAGACATAATGTATATTATAGATGCATGAGTTCTTTTATTTATTTATGTTAGATTCAAGAGTCATTTTCTTTTATTTTGGTTTTGATGTTCTCATAAGAAACATTCATACTCTTGAATTCTAATACATCAATAGTATTACAAAATTCTTCTTAATTAATTTTGCAAAACGTCTGTTTTATTCAACACTTAGAAATACTTTAGCCAAATATATAGTCAAACTTTATGATTGTATGATCATTATAAGGTATTTCTACTAATAGTTCATAAGTATCTCTGTGAAATAAACAATTGTATCATTAAATTTCTTGATATTTGTGTCATTAAAATTCTTGATATTTCTTTTAATCAATGTATAAACTACTACATTTCTCTCTCTCTCTCTCTCTCTCTCCCTCTCTCTCTCCACATAGACAAATTAGTACTTACCCCATGAGGTGGGAACGAATTTCATCTCTAAATAAAATTTGATTTTCCAAAATCATGTACTTCTATGAAGATGCTAAATTATTTTTTTGAAATCATCACACATTACATGAAAATATGTACTCTAAAATAAATGCGCGTATGATCGAGCACAATACACAATTATGATTGTAAATTCTTATAAAAAAGTGACAACTTATTCAACATTCAAAAATATTTTAATCAGTATTAAACATTCCCTTTTCAGTGTTATTAATTTGGAAGATAGATACCTTCCATATTCTTTCAGATTTGCAATATTTATGTGTCTAATAACATTTATTGCGTTTATTGTCCAATGTTTTGTATCATAACTAATTTTTAAAAAATTCAAGATAAAGATACATTATGCTATATGTTTTGGGAAGTGACCATGTGTCGACCGTATATTTTTGTTATAATTTTCATTGAAATAATTCAAATAAAAGGAATAACATTTAAATATTCGTTAGAACTGTCGTTGAAATTCGATTGTTATATATTTTTGTCGAAATTGTCGTTAGAATTTCATCATTCTTTTGTAGCAAAGTACTTCTCCAAATCAATAAAAAAAATACGTTATATATACTATTGTGTGCAATTAATTTCTTTTTCAAGTGTGTAACTAATTTCTCCAGTGAGTGGAGGTCACTCATACTCTTGAAGCGTGAACTGATTACTAAAACTGAAACTTCGCTGTTTTATGTCAAGTTAAATGAACTTCTTAGGACATTGAATCATTCTATGATTCATCTGCACATGAGGGGTTTTCCTCTGGAGGTGCCACATGTTTTTGTTCCTGCAGTCATATGAGGACAACAACATCGATTTTAAATATTTTACTTATAGTTATTAATAAACTTGTAAAATTTAAAAAATATTGTTGAAACAGTTATCTTATTTGATAGGATATTTAAGGTTAAATAAACTCTTAAATTTATTGAGAAAATCATAAAAGTATTTAAGAATCTTGAATAATATCAATAAATAAAATATTTTATTTATAAATCTTTGAATTACAATTGTTTATAGAGCGCTCAACTTGAAAATTAATTGCTCAAATAAAATAATAATAATAATAATTAAAATGTCATGAACATTTTTAATAATAATTGAATGAAAATTTTCAAATATTTTCAGTCTTAATAATTAAAAAATTATGCAACTTGATATTAATCACCTAATGGTCACTTGAAGATTCGTTAACTCTATTAGCTTTGTGACCAAAATTTGAAATACAAACCACTAAACAAGGACGATTTTTGTGGGATTAAAATACAATCCAATAAAATTAAGGTGCAATCTAATTCTAGTTCTAAATACAAGAGTTTATTTTTCTTAAATAATGATCTAGTTAAATGAATTCTTCCATTTTTCTAGTTTATTTTTCTAGTTAAATAAATTATGTAAAAATAATGAGTTTATTTTTAATTTGTCATTAAAAATATACCAAAGTAAGGGTATATTAGTTAGTTCTTTATTTTACAAAAACACTCGTCCTTTTATAGTAGTATTATGAGTTACCATTTTAGTTAGTACAACATTTAGACATAGAATATAATAAAACATCTGGACTAAATATTACATAAGATTATTTTGTAGATATTGTTTACAAGAAAGTGCACGTGCGATGCACGTGGCGACGAATGTTTTTTACCGATTAGATTTAGTAAGATAAATTAATTAATTTATTACACATATGACTGCACGAACAAAATAAAATCTAGAATAAATAAACTTTTCATGCATTTTATTTTAAATAAAAAATATTGTCGTAATATAAAAAGATTTAAATATCATATTACAACTCCAACAAAATAATATGAAAAATGAGTTCCTAATGAAAAAACAATAAATGACTACATAAAGACATAATGTATATTATAGATGCATGAGTTCTTTTATTTATTTATGTTAGATTCAAGAGTCATTTTCTTTTATTTTGGTTTTGATGTTCTCATAAGAAACATTCATACTCGTTGAATCTAATACATCAATAGTATTGCAAAATTCTTCTTAATTAATTTTGCAAAACGTCTGTTTTATTCAACACTTAGAAATAATTTAGCCAAATATATAGTCAAACTTTATGATTGTTTGATCATTATAAGGTATTTCTACTAATAGTTCATAAGTATCACTGTGAAATAAACAATTGTAGCATTAAATTTCTTGATATTTGTGTCATTAAAATTCTTGATATTTCTTTTAATCATTGTATAAACTACTACATTTTTTTTTTCTCTCTCTCTCTCTCCCCACATAGACAAATTGGTACTTACCCCATGAGGTGAGAACGAATTTCATCTCTAAATAAAATTTGATTTTCCAAAATCATGTACTTCTATGAAGATGCTAAATTATTTCTTTGAAATCATCACACATTACATGAAAATATGTACTCTAAAACAATTGTGCGTATGATCGAGCACAATACACAATTATGATTGTAAATTCTTATCAAAAAGTGACAACTTATTCAACATTCAAAAATATTTTAATCAGTATTAAACATTCCCTTTTCAGTGTTATTAATTTGGAAGATAGATACCTTCCATATTCTTTCGGATTTGCAATATTTATGTGTCTAATAACATTTATTGCATTTATTGTTCAATCTTTTGTATCATAACTAATTCTTAAAAAAATCAAGATAAAGATCCTTTATTGATTCTTCAATAATAACAAAATAAAACAAAAGAATGAGACAATATTTAGAAGTAAAATATTTCAGATGAGAAGAATTTGATTTATACTATATTATGATACTCTTAGTCATCTGTTAACTTTATTATTATGAAGTCATTATTGAAGTTTGAGGTCTATTTTATGATAATATCAAATCATTATTTATGAGAACCAATTTCTTATAGAGAACATATACTTAAATGCTAGCAACAAAAAAAAAAGTAATTTTAAAAGATTTTTGTTTCTTGATATTAGTATTCATACTTTTCTAAAAAAATTTAGAATTTTTCTTTTCCTCATTGCATTACTATTGGTTTACTTGTTTTTTTTTTTTTTATTCACAAATAATATTTTATTTCTTGAAAGATTTAGAGAATATTTATATGCAATGCATTCTTTTTACGTGTTTGATAGTAATAATATACTTGATAAAAATGTAGTTTTATATTGTTTATAATATTTTTAAAAGTTTTGAATTTATTTCCATGTTCTGATAAATATTAAGTAACTAATTCATGTTTATATTCACAAAATATACATTTTACAACCATTATGGTGTTCCCTTTCAAGCAGTAATTGAATAATAGTTTAACATACAACCGATTTATTTTTTTCTTTTAATTCACATATTTAATATTGGTAATAGTTGTACAATTACATCTAGTTGACTTTTTCCTTAGTATGAATATTTTAAATCTATGTCATAAAAATATACCACAAGTTTATCTAATATTACTTTATAATTAATAAAATTAATTTAACATGGATCTATAATTATTTTATAAGATTCTTTTAGGTCTATTTATTATTTTAAATTGGTATTGGTATATATATATATATATATATTTATATTATTTTACATCGATATAAATAATTATATTATTTTTATTTTATTTACAAAACATTGGTAAAATCAAATATCATGGGAAAGAAATGATATGATATATTACATATAAAAGGGTAACCCAAAACAAAAAAATAAGTATTTCAAAATTAAGAAATTTAATGGTGTAAATTAACTAATTTTTTAACTAAAAAATTATGACTAACATACCGATTTCTAAGACAAAAAAATAAATATATTTTTTATAAATGTGCATCTCAAGTATATTTTACATTTATCATTCGCTAGCTCCAATTGATATATGACATTTATTAATTTATCATTTTTTTTAGTGGAATGTCAGTTATAAGTTTTCTCGTTGTGCAGTTTTACTTATATGTATTTTTTTTAATTACTAATTATCATAAATTAAATGATAATTACATTAAATATGTTATATTTGGTATCATTATTTATAATATTCAAAACAATTAACTGCACACAATATTATATATAGTGTAAATTTTTTAGTTTGATTTGGAGTCATACTTTTACTACAAGAAAATGATGAAATTCCTATGAAAACATATTACAGCGAAATTTCGACAACAATTCTAACGAATATTTCAACATTACAATTTTCGTTTGAATTTTTCAATGAAAATTATAACAAAAATATTTTGTTGCAATCATGTGCAGATCCATGTTTGTCCAATAGTCCCAAAACTGGCATCATCC